GATTTTCTGATAATAAAAAATCATATGATCAAATGTGATAATTTATTTATTCTAATTATTGAATTTTTTTTTAAGTAAAATTTGTAAATTTTAAAACTTTTTAATTTTATGCAGTTTAATAAATAGAATTTACAAGTTTTTAAATTAAATTTATTTATATAATCTTTGTAAATTAATTCAAATTTTTTATGTTATTGTAGGTATTCGAATTATTTTTTTTAATAAGTTTAAAATATTTTTAATTATATATATATATTTATTTATAAAATTTTAAATTTATACATGAGCAATAAATTTTCCAAATCTAAATAGACCAACTAATCTAAATAAATCATTTCTTCTAGCTCTTGTTCTTACTGGACAATTATCATTACAAATCTCACATCTATAATTAAGGTCAAAATAATCACATCTACACTTTTTTTTCTTATGTTTCTCACATCGATTATACAATTTTGATGCATATTCTATATTGGATTCTACATTACCCCAAAATCTAAAAACTAAATATATTGAATTATCTCCAAACATTTCTTTTATTTTTTTAACACTAACTACTTTTTTAAATTGACAATAACCATGAACATGAGGTTTTCCTTCTTTAGTATCTTCTATTTGTCCAATATAAGCTGTCATACCTAATTTTTCAAATGTTTCAAATTCTTCTTTATTCCTTATAATCGAATATTCACAATCGATCTTTTTATCTTTGCAATTTTTACATGGGTACGAATCACATGCATTTAAATTACAACACATATCACAATTTGTTTCTTTACATCTAAAATGTTTTACATTACACAAATCACATTTTGGAGGTTCTCTATTGTTATTTTTAAATAATTTTTCTCGTTCTTCTTGTGTTAATTTCATATTTTTTTTACATTTAAAATGATTACGACATTCTAAATAATGAAAAGAAGTATAACAAAAATGTGTATTCATTTTTTTAAATAATGATAAATTATAAAAAAATTCTTTTTTTTTTTATATAAGATTGAATTATTAATTAAAAATTTATCTATTAATTAATTGATTAAATAAAATTTTTTATTTTTTTCAAATAAAATAAAATTACCAATTAAAGAATTTGATTATTGTTTGATAAATTATTATTGTTAAATTTTATTTATTTATAAAAACGTGACATTTTACAATTTTTTTTAAAAAAATTTATTTGAATAATTTTACTAGTTTTTTTTATTCTTTAAAAATTTTTCAATTTCATATTGTTGTCTTTTTGCAAATTTACGAAATTCGTTATATTTTGTTAATAAAATTTCATGTTCCTTTGATAGTTTTTTATATTTATAATAAATATCATTTTCTCTTTCTTGATCTTGTTTCATTTTCATCTCCGATAACATTTTAAACATTCCATAAGTTTTTATATCTACGTCATTAAAATATTTTTTAAAATTATTTTCGTTCCATGATGATAAATTAAAAAATCCTTTTTTTATAAATCTTTTAAGATCTATCTTTTCTTCATCGTCTAAATCTGAATCATATAAAGCATCTTCAATTTTGTTCTCCAGAATATGATCACTATTAAAAATATTTAAATTATATCATATTAATTCAAAAAAAAATAAATAAATAATAAATTTCTTACAAATTCGTATCTTCATATGTTTTTTTAAACATTGCTCTAGTCATAGGAACTTGAATATTACTAAAATATTTTTTAAAATTATATTCATTCCAATTCTTTGGATTGAAAATACCTCCTTTTTTAAGATCATTTTTTTCTTCATTATCTAATTGTGGATC